TGAATAATTTGAAATGATTGATGTAAATAATTGAATTTTTGTTGAATTAAATGATTAAGTTAATTATCATTTATCAATTAGAGAGATTAATATCCATCAAAATTTTTATAAAATGCAATTGTAAAGTTGGCTATGCCCACACAGCTTAGCCAAGTGGTGGTGTTCTAACTCACTTTAAAAAAACAAATTGATTTTATTGCAAATAAATCACAGAGGAAAAAAATCAAATAAAATTAGAATCATAGTAATTCTAAAAATGAAAAATCATGAAGGACAAAGAATTCTTTGAAACAAGTTTTAATCACTAAGAAGAAATTTTAAATAATTTTGTATTCACATCTGAAGATGAAGAAGAGCAACCTCAAAAATCATTTAATCCAACAATAAAACTATTTGATGTCTTCTACAGTGGGATCATTCTATTAATTCTGTAATCTATAAATTCTATTTTATAGATAATGTGAAAATTTTGATATATAAATTTATTTTATAACTTCATTTAGTTCTGCTGTAGAATCAGTGGTATGTTATGCTATAACTACACTTCATAATTTGCTCTTGCATCAAGAAGGATCTAAAATGGCAGTTAGATTAGCTGGTGGTCTACAGAAGATGGTAGTTCTACTTCAAAGAAGCAATGTGAAATTTTTAGCTATCGTTACTGATTGTCTGCAAATTCTTGCTTATGGAAATCAAGAAAGCAAGGTATTTTAATTTTTAAAATAGTGTTATTTTATTGACATAAGGTTTAAAAAACTAAATGCTTTTCAGTTAATAATTTTGGCAAGTGGGGGTCCTGCTGAATTAGTGCGAATTATGCGTTGTTATACATATGAAAAATTATTATGGACAACATCAAGAGTTTTAAAAGTACTCTCTGTATGTAGTAGCAATAAACCAGCAATAGTAGAAGCAGGTACAAATTTTTTATGAATTCATTGATAATCGTTTATATTCCAGTTTTAAGTGATGTATAAGTGATGTCAGTTTTAATGTTACAGTAGAGTGTCATTTATCCGAATCGATTGGGGACTGCGGTTGTTCGGATAACTTATTTTTCAGATAACCAATTATGTACGAAAAAATATATTAATTTATCCCGTGTTGAAATTTTTCTCCATTGCGTGTCACTTCGTGTTGAATTTTCATCGATGTTAAGCCTAATGAAGACTATTGTATCGTTAAAAATTATTTTTTTATTTTGTACAAACAAAATAAATATATTGAAAAATATAAAAACAATAAAAAATTATACTTCAG